TCTCCATATAGACAACAGGTTGCAAACAGAAAAAAGTTCCACAGCGCACCTTTAATGCCATATTGTGGCACTATCCAAGCAGAGCAATAACATCTCCATGGAGACAAGCAGTTTGCAAAACCTCCACCGTAAAAGTAATACAGACCTTTAAGTGCAGAGTTTAGCCTTACTAAAAGTACATGATCCTAATTAAAAGTCCTGACGAGCTTAAACAGTGAGAACAGAGTGTCATGTTTGCCATGAGCAGTGCTGCTAACCAAAGAGAGTCCATTAACACTGATGTCCTATATGCAAACTGTTTTCCTTTGGCTCATGCATTCGCCTGCCCACTAGTATCAGAATTCTACCAGTTGGTTTTGGTCCGAGCGGAGTCTGGACAGTTGGCACCGGGGCTGATCTGAATTCTCACTGAGGCTTTTTGTGATCCTAGACAGCAGAGCGCGTCATCACTGTCTCTCGCCCATCTGCCTCCATCTCCACGAGTCATCACCCGCTGAGCCCATGAGCTGACAGAGTTTGTGGCACGAGCTACACTGACACTGGGTCACGATGCCAGTGAGGGGGCAGCGCCAAGAGAAAAATGGGCCTCTAGGAAGTCTTGCATGTACAAACTACCAGGCAAAAGTTTGGACACAATTTTTCATTTTTGTGTTCTCTTTATTTTCACATCTATTTACATTGTAGACTCTTACTGAAGGGATCAGTACTACGAAGGGAACATCATAAACAAAAAATAAAAAGAGTTTAGATTTTTTTTTTTTTAAATAACACCCTTTTGCTTTGATCACTACTTGGCATTCCTTGACCCTGACAAGGTGAAGTGAAAACCAGTTTCAGAGACAAGTCATAAAAATAACTGAGTAAAGGCCAAAGGTTTGCAGCACTTTCAAAAAAGCAGAAGGTGGCTACTCAGACATGGCTACATAATTCCATACTTCTTGCATCATATTTGAGGTCTTCCTTATGTATAAAGTAAAGAAAATAGTAAATAATGAAAATGAGAGGAGAATAGAAGGCGTGTCCAAACTTTTTACTGGTAGTGTACAATAAAGACAAGACAATAATCCCCCACTGATATCAAATCCATTCAAAAGAGGAACTTAAATCACAGTAACAGGAAATATTCAGAATTTGCATCTATTCAAATCATGTAAACAATAGTGAGAATTTTTTGAGCAAACCAATTTCCATACCTTTTTGTCTTGATCATTACATTTTGTCACCATAAAACACACACACACACACACAAAAGATTGCGTGTAGAACAAATCGTTTGCTTAGTAAACAAATGCAGCTGATTCAAAAGTTTTTGTGGTGTGAAAATGCTGACACTAAATGACTAATCCACAACAAAACCTATGCATTTAGTCCAAAAGCAGCACTGTCATGGAAACAGACTCTTCATTGGAGGAAACTGTTTGGAATTATTGCACACAAATATAGTTAAAGTTGCATTATGTAATTTTTTCTGATGAGGGTCACTCATAGGCATAAAAGTGACATCACAAAGCCAAGTTACAGGTTAGATCTGTGAAGAAGCAACCTCACTCAATAACACCTGTACTGAATAAGATCTACTGGTACAAGGCATTGCAGTCAAAATAATAACATTAAAAGGTCCCATATTACAATATTTTCTGATCTGTTATAATGAAGGATCGTGATCAAAAATATACTGGGAGTTTGTTTTGTTTCATGTTTAACACACAAATCCTGCATATTTAGGCCGCGTTCTTCTCTCAAACAGAAAACACTCTGTTTTCAAGGTGCAATACAGGACATCCACTGCATTTTTAAACTCCGTACATCTTCACTAAAATGATTTGGGTAATTTCAGCCCTAGAATTGCCAATCTCTACTGAACAAAAGGTAAAAGGTAGCTGTTAACTTGAAAAATATTGCTTCATGACACTACAAGGTGGAACATTTTGAGCTATGGAGATGTAGACAGACTAATAATAAAAAGGTTACTCAAACACGTGTGAATGAAACAAAACACAACTCCATAATAACATGGCTTGAAGCTCACAAGAGTCAGTTTTGCATAATATAAGACCTTTAAGTAATCTTGAATTTGAATTGCACATTTAGGTTGGATAGCAAACAATGTGGAAACCAACCATCACGACACACTGCAAGTCTCACACAGCATGTCGTGTGTACCCATCTCCCTTTGTACACTCGGAGCTGCACAGAGAAAATAACACTGCCCTATCTAACGTATGACTCATAAAATCCATTTGCAAAACATCAGAGCTAATGTACCCTGAGCGATGCATCTACCTATCAGCTGGAGCACTGCAGACCCAACCCCCGACACATGTAAAACGCAAAGGTCAGTCTAACCAACCATTGCACGACGACCTAAATGACATCAGCAGAGTGACAGCACACAGATCTCTCATTCTGATGCGGCACAGACTGTCAGACTGGCCGTGTGACTGTACCAGAGGGAGCCGAGAACAGAAACAGCCTCTGAATCATATCACACAAAAGGAGAGGAGACATGCTGCCAGTGCCCACCAGAAATGTGGGCTCCTGAAATAGTACTGTGAGCAAAATAAGTGCATAGGTGTTTCTAGATCCACCTACATGATTCACAAACACCATTCAGAACTAAAAGCTGTGGGTGTCAAATGGAAAAGTGTACATAGGCTTTTGTGCAAACTTGACACAAGTTAAAAATACAATGTTGTAATCAAAAAGCTTGGTTAATATCTGCAGGTTTGCTCATTGTGTCATGGGTCCGTTTTGTAAGCAGCTGTTTACTACCTTTTACAGGAGTCACTCGTCGCCCTTGACCGCAATATAGCCGGTGCAACTGGACACAAGGTCACACGTTTAATCACTAGGCGATAATCATTCTACGTTACGCACGGTCTGTCATACGTTTGTGGTACCATTTCGTGACTGTAGTGGTCAGACAATATGCAGCCCTTTTGCACTTAAAACAGCATTAAAAAACACGATCAAGAGTTCACGTTTCGTCTGCTGTCTTGTGTTCGGAAAATATATAGCTACCAACTAAATCATAATATGACTCTTCACACGAGTTGTAGACACCTTTTACGCACAAGTTCTTGTTTATGGAAAGTTTAAAAAACTACAGTGTATTTAGTAGATGATTAGATGGTTAATAATGTAGTCAGAAGTCTGAAATGTAATAGATTTTGTGTGTGATCCACAACCTCGTGTCTCGGAGTGCTGGCAGAGGGAATCTCACAAAGTTGCGCAAAAAGAGTCAGTATGCAGGCTGAACTTAAGAGGCAACGCTGTCTACACCTCGTATTTTGAATAATTAAGCTTCTTGGTTGAAGGACCGCTTACATTTTGTGGTATAATGATTTAATAAAACTAAATTGTACACTACATACACTACACAACAAAGCTTACGGAATCTCTCTGCTGAAGTCGCTGGCACAGAGAAGGCACACAAAGGCACAACACGGAGTCGTGCTTTCCGATGCAAACTACAAAAACTAGCTGCTAGCACAGTTAATATTGCCGTGTTTAATTGCCATGTGGGTTTAAATGCCTTTGATTGCGAGCTGCATGTGCTAATCGAAAGCTAGCGAGCAGCCGGGAGGCCATTTAAACAAAGTGGGTAACATTACAGCTGGCTAGCCGTTCCAGACAAGCCAGATAGCACAGTCGCCACCTCGCTTACCTCGAGCCGAAACCGCCGGGCAAAGTCTGCGTTGTCTCGTCACACCATGGACATTTCGTGGGGTAATCGCTGCGGTGTGTGCGCGGAGCCCTTTGCTCAAACGACAGCGACCACAGTGGGATGGTTTCAGGATGTTTAGCCGCGGTAGCCGAAATGAGCAATTAAGGAAAAGCCTCCGCTCTTCGCTGATCGCATCTTTCCACAGCGACAGCACCACCTGACAACGGAAATGACGCACACAAACGCTTGATTGACAGCTCCTACAGCCAATGGGAAGAGCTCCTCGCTGTCCTTTCTTATGGTTGCGCATTGATGATGAAATTCTTTGCATAATAAAAGTTGCCAAAACGCATTACATCATGATTTTCGGGACAGGATGCGATTTCCCAGTTGTAATAAACATGAATCAAATGTCCTTCCGGCTGATGTCTGTGCTGTCAGATCTACCTACTTTGCACAATTTTTTGTATATGTTTACCAATTTCATAGTCATATCCGTACCCATAGGTCAACAAAAACTAAAAATAGTCCCAAATGAATTCCACTAAATTTCAGGTTTACTATTAGTGCTTTTTTAAATTTCCCGATATAGATCACAACCCACATGCCCTAGTTTCAAACAGGTGGGCAGATCTGAGAAAATCTATGGTTTCTAAATGGCAGATTGCTGATTATTATTATTATTTTTTTCTTCTTTTCAAACCAGCTAAACTCAAACCAGCTAAACTCATTGTTATAGTTAGTGTAAATACATGCCTTTGCTTGGCACAAGCTCTGGTTTCTCTATGCTCTGCAAGAAGGCTGTATCCTTAGGGCATACTGTTTTGTCTCCCCTTCTTTGCAAAGAGACAACCTTAGAAAGACCTCCCCAAAACCCTCCTCCCCAAAATCAATTTGGGGAAATGTCTCAGCATGTCTGGCTTGCCTGGTTTGCACTATGGTGTGGATCTGATAACTGGTTTAAAGGGGAATGCACAACAGGACAGAATTGCAGCAAGTCACTACTAGATGAGAAAAAAAAAAAAAAAGGGGGGGGGGGGGGGATAAGCTGAGCTCCCTGGTAAACACACAAAGCTAGAACAGCAATCAGCATATGTTTATGATGTTTAAATACATATTATTAGTGGTGGATATGGCGCATATATTTTCGAAATATATCGTTTTCCATACTTTTATGACCTACAACATGGTCTGTTTGTGTGACAGCACCACCTATTGGTATATTTTGACATTGCATGCTTTCACATGCTTTTACAGTTCACACGCCATGATTGACGCCGCGTTGCATCATCAGCGGATTTAAACAAAATTACATGCAATTACTATGACCTGACAAAGATGATTCAATTTATTAAAAAAATAAATCTAGAGTTTACAGTTCACAAACATGTGCAGTACAGTTCACTAAATAATACATTTGATAAATTATTATATTGCACTGCTCTTGTGTTACAAACGTCCTTGTACAGCACTGAATGTAACATGGTGTGTTACAAAATGAGCACATCAGTTCCCTTTCAAAGGGCACTTAGGACTCTAGTTCTTATATCACATATCACAATGAAAGTTTGTTTGTTTACATGCACTTAACGTAGCTCACTTACTATGGAAAAAAAAAAAAAAGTAAAATACACAGGCAAATGTTGCACTACACATGAATGAATGACATAACAGCAAATCATTCACACATTTACTCAGGATAAAACACACCCATTGGTCTTAATCCCTGTATTACTAGTATAATCACAAATACAGTGTATGTATGGTGTGGCTCCCAGACCGAAGTGCATATTTAAAATGGTCTTAAATTATACCACTGTGTAGTGTGTATTGTAGTGTGTTACATTGTTTTGCAGGTGCAGCTTGTAACTGGCCTACATAAGCAGCACAGCTGACAGTGAGTTTGATGCCACGCTCCAGGGAGGTTCTGTCTGTGACAGTATCAGAGGCCGTCCATCATGGCCAATAGGTCATCTCCTTTGCTGCTCGCACTGGGAGACTGATCACTGGTCTCGGAAAACTCCCCCATTATCTTAGTTAGCTCAGCATTGGCCTGTTGGTCCTAAATAAATAAATAAAAAATGATTCAGTAATCTCATAAATATGGTTTTGAACCTAAAATGCTCAAAATAGGAGTCAGTGTCAGCAAATGGGGAACATATAGGTGAAAAACAGCCTCACTGGTTTTGATTGATTAGAACAACAATACAATATTTTATTTTCTGAAGCAAAACTGAATTGCAAAGAAAGGCAGATTTACCTTTGTTGCTTGGATGCTTATGACTCCATAGCAAAGCTCATCTGGCCTTGATGATAAAGCTTCTCTGTAAATAAGTCAGAATTTACCTTTAGAACCAAACTTAAAGTAAAACTGTCCATAACAATACACTGTAAAATTGGCACAAATACTTACTCTTCCTCCTCATCTGTATTGAACAGGTTGACCCGAAAGCCACTGTCTGCATTTCCAGCTTTGTGAACCTCTAACCCACCCATTAATCTTGCCAGCAGGTTCAGTTCCTCTTTGGCTAGAGGGTTAGGTGCAGTGCTGACCTTTTCACAAATAATGGTAAGTAAGTAAAGTAACAGTAACAGTCAGTTACAAGGAAAAGGCCATGAAGATAATTTGTTTTAATTTATACCTTTGGATGCTGGGCAGAGTTCTTAGAGGTCCCAGACATATGGGTTTCAACAGGACGGCAAACACTATACCTAAACAAAAATATTAGCACATTAGCACATTTTGGTGTAACTCCAATATATCTGAGTCTTATAATGTGATTAATGGTTAGGACGACTTACATGTTTGTGCCTAGTTTGGTAACACGGTCTCCAAAAATTTCAAATGAACCCTCTCGTAGGGCTGATGTGTAGTTTCCACCATTAGTGAACTGCAACCTACTTATCTCTTCACCTGTGCAACTAAATATCCTGAGGGGAAAAAAGGTTATGACTAATCTGTAATTTAAAGAAAAAAACATTAATAATTATACAATTTAATGTTTATGCAAAATTGTTTATCTTTAGTCAATAAAAATATAAGGACAGATACTTATAGAGCTTTATAATTAGGCTACAATACCTTCTTCAGAGAAGAAACTGTCCAAACAACCTTTCTTTCTTTACTAGATTATGGAGGCTCCTGACTTTTGCCTCTACTTTAAAACTGCTTTTCAGTGTATGGAAAAACTGGATAGACTGGTGCCACTTTGCTCTTGAAAATAATAATTTGGTGATACACATTTAAAGACATAATTGTGTAAGTTTAATGTGCCATTGTATTAATTTGACATAATTTGTATAAATTTAAACCTAGCACATTCAGTTCTAAAATAAGAATGTAAGTGACCAGTCCTTCGAGTTCTATGATTAGCTGCAGATAGACCCATTAACTTGTCTGGAGTGATTTTCAAAATAACTTAAAGAAAAAGAAGGGAGCAATAACTACTACTTCCGTAACAGTAATAATAACTAGACAATAACTCCCACAAAGTATATGGCACTGATAAGAGGCATGGTCAGTTTGAATTGTACCTGATTAAACCGGGGATATGTGTTCCATAGGGCACTGGGCCACTTGTGGGAAGTACAAAGCGACCATTTGAGTTCTGGACTTTATCTTTAAGAAAAATGGACACCTGCAAAAACAAAGGTACAAAATGTGAAGAAGACGTCAGATAGATCACAAGGCTCACAAATGTAAACAAACTTGCAAACTCACTCTTATATGCATGTCTTGAAAAAATATTAAAAGAGTTTGACGGATAAGTTGAAATTCTCCACTTGATAAAGGTGTATACATCTGAAAAGTACAATTAGAGAAAGCACACAGTTAAGAGACACTGAATGTGTTAGATGAGGCTGATACAAATAAATAATCTGTTATATTGTCACAAAAGTAAGGTAATTATGTCTATAGCTTCAAAAATCAAAATGCTCTGTTCTATCTTATGACGTCGTGAAGAGGTAGTTTTCAAGTTAACAGCTCCTTTTACTTTTGGTTCAGTAGAGATTGGCATATCCAGGGCTAAAATTATCCAAATGATTCTAGTGAAGGTGTATGGAGTTTAAAAACACTTCCTGTATTACCACATGACATCACAAGGTGGAACAGAGTGTTTTCTGTTTCTGCCTAAATATGCAGGGTTCGTGTGCTAATTATGTGTGAATAAAACAAAAACAACTCTAGGTATGTTTTTGAATTGGAAACAACAAAATAGATCAGAAAATAGCATAATATGAGTCTTTTAATTGAAAAAAAAAAACAAAAAACAAAAAACTGATACCTCTATAAGTTGCCGAAACGTCTCATCAACCTGACTGAGTATACTTGGGCTATCTTTTACAAAATCCTTGATAGCATCCATGTGGTTAAAGGAAACAAGAAGAATGTCTTTGGGTCTTGTGCACAGCAGCACTTGGTACTTGAAAGCCATGGTCATCAGGTCATACAGCTGTGAGGGAGGAAACAGATAGACAGAAAACAGACATTTCATTATTTCCCAATCTATGTCAGCTTTCTGGGGCAGGGTTTGTCACCTGCTTGTTTCATTAAAAGGTAATCAAAATGCAAAATAACAACTTCACCCAAAAAATTACCATTACTGCAAATGTATGGTAATTAAAAAAAAGTCTGAAAGTGAATGAAAGAAAGATGGATATTTATATTGTGGAAGAGTTCAGGGAAAGGGTGTTCTACATGCATCTCTATGGGCAGAATGTTTCACAGCTGCCAAGTTGACACAGTGCGCGCATTAGTAAACATAGCCAAAAATGGTTTAATATGTTTGTGCTTGATTTTCAGTAAAAATGGTGAGTGTGATTAACTGAAAAACTGCTGTGACCAAGCTTGTGATAGTAATTTTACATGTGAGAGACTTGGTTAAGCGCACAAATCAGCTCATCTTTCTGGTCCAGGGGTGGGCAATTATTTTTGCCCAGGGGCCAAATGAGAAGTAGAAAATAGTGCAGAGGGCCGGGCCAAAAGTTTGAAGTCTACTCTGGTTATTAATTTTATTTCTACTTTGAAATAAGTAAATGGCATTATTTATAGAAGCTGGTACCTTATGTGTTATTAATCAGTAATAAGAGAGTGAAGTTTTACAAAAACTGAATTTATTCATTAAAATAATTCAAAACAACAGTATACCTGAAACATTTGTAACTCTTTTTCAGTAACATTAACCTCACAATGCTTTCTACAAACTAAACACACAGGTTTACCTCTGACTTCAGTAAATAAATATTTAGTGGTCCATATTTTCTTGAAACATCGTCCTTCAGCATCCACCTTTCTTTTTTTTGCATGTGCGAACAGTTTGAAGGGTGACAATGATTTGTTGCTAATCACATGCAGTCATTGACCTGTTTTACAGAGTACGTAAAGGACGTACATACACTATTATACTACACACGTATTTACACTGTAATGTACGTAAGGTAGCCTGTTTATTTACAGTAAACAGGCTTCAAGGTAAAATCACTGCCGTTTTAGTCCACACATTATGTAGAATTTTGAAAATAGGTTTTATTTTCTTAATTCCAAGCAACCTTTCGCGGGCCGGTCAGAGTCAGCTCGCGGGCCGTATTTGGCCCCCGGGCCTTGAAATGCCCACCCCTGTTCTGGTCAGATTGTGTTAAAATAAAGCTCAGATTAAGTCTAACTTGAGTTAGTACAAACAGTGGTTTCAGTTAGCTTCACAGCCCCAGCGAATGTTAATGACATCAGCTGCAAGGTATTAACAGTGCATCTTTAACACAAATTCTCAGAAGTAGTAGTAAAAGTACATGACTCTGACCTTGTCCATACTGGCTTGGTTCAGTCTCATGATGGATGCATGGGCCAGTCTATCAAAGACAGTGCGCAGGGCCTTCTTGGAGTAAAGCTCCTGTGGTTTGAAGAGCTCCTCCAGAAACTTTTTGTTGAACATTGTGCTGATGATGTCATTCATAACTGTTCAGGGGTACAGAAAGAGGAAATACAACACTGATCTACTCATTGCCGTTTGAATTACATTAGTAAGAGTACGGGAACCAAAGCAAAACCCACTAAAAAGCAGCTAGAAGCTAATCACACATCCCCAACTTAGCATCAGCTTTGATGATTGTAAAAAGATCCAGGAAAATATAATAAAATAAAAAAAATGTAATGATAAAATGTATAATTCAATTCCTACTTTCCTCTATAACCCAGCACTGACCCATGTGGCTTGACTAGTCTAAAAAGGACACTATAAGAGCAAATTAAATATAACAATGTGTGTATCATGTGGTGTAGGTTTAAAGTAATACCTCTCTTTCTGTCCTTGTCTATCCAGCCAGCTACAGTGGAGTCTTTCATTATTAATATTATAAAGAGAAATAAAGTAGAACAATTATGATTGTCAGTGCTGTTACTTATAACAGTAGCTAGGTTGTTTTATTTTTATTTTCTCAACACTGTTCTGCAAGATAAACAATACTATGAAATGCGTGAAAGCGAATAATAACACATTTCGTATGGAGATTAGGACATTGATGCTAATTATAACGGTGCTTGAGCAGTGATGCTAACACACTTACCTTTCTTAGCTTTGTCGGCGGGAATATTTTGAGCCCGAAGTCGTTGATCTAGGATATACAACATTTCCCCACCGAGGTTTATAAAAAGCAGAGGCAGTGTTCGCGTTGACATTGTGTAATTTTAATGCTTGAATACCTGGAACTATTTTATTTACCATTTACCAATAATGCTACTAGCTAAAATGCTCTTCTGTTGTTAAAGCCTCTTCCCGTTGCCAGGCCACGGTGGGCTTAACCAATCAGAGGCCAGAGTGCAAAGCTACCCGGAAGAGTAGAAGGGATAAAGCAAGTTGATGGGGGCTCTGATTAAAATTTAAAATATTATACTTTTCTTTTATAGAAAATCCTTGAGCAAGCACTTCAAACTGTACGTCTACTGGCACAGCAAGCGTTGGAATATTTTGTTTAAAAAAAAAATTTAAAAATCCCCTTTTAATTTCCTGTACTTTTCCCAGCTAAAATCCAAACAAACAAACAAAAAATTCCAGTAGAGCCCTAATAGTGAATTACAATTTACATGTATTAATTAACCTCAAAACCAAGTAAAACTAAGTGATGAGCTCATCAGTGATGAGTACCTGATGAGTTGTTATATGATTAAAATTTTCAATATAGGCCTAATACTTTTCTTGTACGTTCTTGTTGTTCTTGTCTCTTGAACAAATACGCCAAAATGTAATTCTACACAAGATGGGTTGGACTATGTCTGAAAAATATTTCCTCAATTTTATTTCCTAGATTTCACAAGATTAGGGGGTGACCAGCTTTTCTAAATTAAAACTGCATCTAAGTAGTTTCTTCTGTGTTCTGGCCATGTTCAAGCACAGTTTTCTGAATTCTGGTTGGAGAAATGACAATATATTCCCCTCGTCACTGTTGGTGGGTATCAAGCTGGTCAAAAATAGGGACACCTGGAACATTTCTAGTAAAAAAGTGGAACAAATTAAAGGTCTACTGGGACATGGGATACAGGGCCCAAAACTGGGACCTGGGTAAGTAGGTACATCTGGTAACCCTACACAGAATGAAGCACCACATCTTGCCACATTTTAAATACATTATTTAAGAGTAATTAGACAAGCAATTTCTTTACAAACATCATATAATATTTATTTACAACAATAAAATATTACCCTGACAATGAAATATTGTAGAAATTGTAAAACATATGAATTGAGAACATTTCAATTCTCATTATGGCCTGTATCTTTAGCTCGTAAAGACAAAAAATAAGTGCTTTTCATATGGCTAGCACTGTCTATCTGCTTGCATCTACTTCTCCATTTCGGATGCGAATTTCTCTGGCCATTCTGCACACTTCGCAAACTCCACAGCAAACGGTCATCAGGGCATCATTGCATATTGTTCCCTGTGGAAAAAAGAATCAGTTTATAGTGTAGGTGCAAAGAAGCCAACCCACAATGAGAACATACACCATTTTGTTTCCTAAAAGTGAACGCCCATGATTTGTTCCTCTAGAGGTGTCTTGCACAAGATTGATTTTGTAAGAAATGCAAGCAGTGAGAAGCATTAACCACACAATAACCAGACCTACCTCAATACCGTAAGTGAGCCTCATGTGAGTTCGCAGGGCTGTCATTCCACCTGGTAAAAAGCCTAGGCAGCAGTTCTCCCCATATTTATTAGCAGTGTAGCAACTCAGTACTGGTCCACAGAAGAATCCCAACAAACCTGAAATGGAAACGGACATTTTAGATATTGATATTGACAACTGAACATGCAAACATACTTAATATACTAGACATTAAAATTCTAGAGCAGAGTTCCCTGTTAAAATCGAAACAAGAAGTAATGTAGAGAATGTATAGTAGGGCCCCAACAGTGAATTACAATTTACATGTATTAGTTGTACACAGTGATGGGAAGAACATTAAATTGTATTTAGTTACAGAATACTGAATATCTGCATTAAAATGGAACAAATTCTGATACATGGACAGTCAGAGTACTATATTCTGAATACTTGGAATACAGATGAACGCATTAAATTATAGTGTAAACATGTAACATAAGATTAAAAACAGCTTCATATTTGTTCCACCATTTCTTATACATTATATATATATATATATATATATTCATATATTTAGAAGGAAATATCACACATGCCTCACCACAAGAGCAGTGTTTTATATTTTTCTCACTAATTCTGTGCCGTTTGAAGCCTCAATTGTGTAATAAAGTACTGCCATGTATTCCTTTGATTTAAAAAATGTAACTATTCTGAATATTCCCAAATGAAAAAGTAACTGTACCGGAATACATTCACTCAGAATTAGTACTCAGAATAATACGCATTATCTGTACTCATTTTCAGTTACTCCCCAACACTTGCATGTACAAAATTGAAGTGAGCTCATACTTACAAATTGGAATGTCACTACAGCATCCACACACATGAGTACTCCACTGTCCAGTTTGGACATTTGTGCCATAGCCTCCAGCACCGGGCTGATGAGTTATCACTGGGTTAGACATTTAGATGGGATGCCAATGATCCGTGTTTTGAAATGCCTAAAAGAGAAAAGTTTATGTTTTGATTACATTTCAACTGCACAAAGTAAGTCACAAGCAACACTTGAGTCTCTCCATCATTTCGTCAAAAGTGCTGCAAATATCAGCAACAAATAAGCAAAAATATTTCACGAGTAATAACAGCAAAAATACAGCAAAATACTGTATGGTGTTAAAATTGTGTAGGAGTAAAATTACATACCTGGTACGTAAAGGTCTGTTCTCACCCTGATCAAACTGACATCTGCGTAGCAAACAGGAAACTCTGCAACTGTTAAAAAATGTCTGGCAGCGTCTACGTCCCTTACTGCCAAATATGATTCATTGCGTATTGCAAGAAGGGCTGGTTGACCACACTGACACATGTACTGATATCGAGAGAAGTCATGTGAACTTTTATGGTCCATAATCTCCTGCTTCATCATTTTATGAGCAGATAGTAGATGAAATCTAGTACAAAAGCAAATCGCATGACAAAATTGCATCACATGCTTTTTTCTAAATGAGCTTTCAGTATAATATTATATAGGGCATTTTTCCTAACAAATAGTAAAGTATGTATTTTTTATTGGAAAATTTACTCAATTTTGAGCTGCACATTTAACATTTCTGAGTAAAACAATACTTGTTTATAGTTTCAGATTATTTAAACATTATTTTTCACAAAATCACAACTTAATAGGTTGTTTGAAAAAAGAGGCATTGCATTTGATCAGACAAGAAGACGAGGAAGAAGTTTTATTTCAATCTCGTTATTACACAATAGACAAGAAACTGGACGTTCACTGGGATTTTGCAATGCTGGAATCTGCAGTAACTTGGTTTTGTTTCATCTTCATTTTTTCTTCTGCTTTTTGCTTCTGCACTTCTTTAAAGACCTGTGGGAAAACACAAAGCACCGGCACAGAATGAGACAGCAGCTTTGGGAATACACACCCTGCCATTTATTTGTGCTATTTTAACCATTACCACTTACGTTTTTTTTTTAGATGATATTTATGTATTTGTCTTGTTGCTGTGTCTTATAACCAAGATTTGCTGTTAACTGTTAATTTCTCATGAAGTTTACTTAACTTTAACTTAATAACAAAAACATATCTGGGATATTAAAAGGTGCACTAAGAGGGTTTGCTACTTGCTTGTCTCCATGAAGATGTCATTTCTTTGCATGGAATGTTCCACAGTTGGGCGTTAAACTTATCTTCCTTACATGTATTCAGTTACAGGTGTTTTATAGCTGGAAAAACAAATTCTTACTACTGGATGTACAGGCTTGCTTCTCCATAGATCTGACTAGTAACTTGTCTCCATTGTGATAGCCAAGTTTATTTCCGTACTGTGAAATAATCAAACCAAAGCACTAAAGCGGATCCTCCACTAAAAAGTTACACGATGGACAGTTTTTTTGTGTAGACTTACAGCTCTCTTTCTGTAATTGCTCTTCTATTTATATTTTGATTCATTATTCTGTTAAATAGACACATTTGATGCATTGACAACAAACTTACACGTAAAAAATCAATACTGCTATCTGTGAAAAACATCTGATATCACTGATACCGATATTCAAACCAATATATTGCCCATCTCTTTTACTGATACATAATATGCTTGTTTCCCACTTATGGTTAAATTAGCCATTTACCTTTAAACAGAAAGCCTTTTTGGCAATCCAGCGCCGCGTGGCTCGTCTGTAGTACTCTGGTGGAAAGGTGTAGGTGATACCCAACTCTTCACATACTTTCTCAAAGGTGTCGTAGCGAACTAGTCTGAGCTTCTTTAAAATCTTTTTCCTCTTGTCTATGGCCATTAGCATGCGTCTTTTGTTAGCTTTGTCCTGTAATGCAAGAATGATCAATGTAAACAATGAAATAGAAAGATGAAACTGAAAAAGGAATGAGTGACAATGTTGTATTTTTAAATGGCAGTGTGTCAGTATCTAACTTGCATGTCTGATCTAACATGGAAAGTTCCGACCACAATTTTACAAGTCTCTAGTTGCGAGGTGTACCCAGGAAATCCTGTAGCAAGTGCATGTCTCAAAACCAGAACGTAGCAAAGAGCACAGACAAACCCCTTTATTGTACTACCATTTTAGTTTTTCATGTAGAGTACACTTGCCTTGGGATGTATTTGCAAATGATCTTGAAAGTTCCGGATTCTTGCTGTCAACATAGCCACTGCGTAACAACAAAAACCACATAAACTCAACTGATTCAGGTTAGGGGTTTGTAGCAACCAATAACGTAATAACAACCAATAATGTAACAACATCCTATAACGTAAACATATTGTAGAATTATAAGTAGTCACTGACGCATTTGAGTGCGTCATTAAGTCAAAATAAATTGGCACTTAAGTCTTTCATTGCTAGTCCTTTTTTTGTAAAAGCAACCTCTAGCCTACCAGTGTATTTGCTTATTTTCAACAACTTTGCAATCCATGCGAAATGTGTGTTCCAAAGCAAAGAACATCTGATAGATATGTATAGTGTTCCTTCCCCTGCACAAAAGTTAACAAGCAAAGAGTTAACATGCAATAACTTTGAATTATTACACTATTGCCTGCAGTTATTACATTATAACATTTTTCCCTTACCCAGCCAATAATGCAATCACACAAGTTATTACATTCTTGGCCAGTTATAATATTATGGACTTATCACATTCAAAATTGGCCAAATTTTTACATTATTGGCCATTATTATGGTTTCGGCTCCTACAGGGTTCTGATAGAAATAGTAATTAGGACCACGAGAACTCAGCTTACCTCTGACCTCCTCTGAATTGCGGTCATTTTCATTCCTCTGGACCTTTGAAATGAGCAGCTCCTTTTTTAGCTCTAACTTTTCTTTCTGCACATATGAAATAAGACGTGTCATATTTGGACCATAAGCATGTTTAGGGATAATACTAATATTTTATTTTAAACCACATGCAATAATTTTAACACTGGACAGTAATATATTTTTCTGTTTCTGTTTTTGCAGCACCTTTGAACATAAGAAATGCCAGAATTGAAGATGGGTTGAAAAAAGACTGGTTTGTGCGCATAAACTAATTTAGGGCATTAGTTAAAGGTGCACCACCTAATTTTTCAGGTTGAGGGTCCATAACAATGGAGATGCAATTGCTTTGCCTGTAATGTTCCACAATATGGTATTAAACTTAAATAAAATGTATTTATTCAATGATAGGTGTTTTCATTGTCTCTTCTCATATCTCACCTCTAAATTGTCCTGGTGGAATCTCCTGCTTGTCTATGGAGATTGAGTTCAATGCCATACTTCGAAGCATTGCAGGCAAAGCAATAATATCTCCATGAAAACAGTTAGATAATTTATTTTTGATCTTTCAAACTATGTTTTGGATTATGCAAAATTACATTATTAACACAATAACAACATAACAACTCACATGACTTGCCAGCTCAATTGAGATAAGTCTTTTAACAACATCATCAGTCCTGCAAACAAAACAAGATACTAGAACTTTGGACTTGAATATATTTGATTATGTTATAAAGTGAAGGCGTACGTTTGAGCGAGAGGCACAGCTGCATAGTCCAGCTTTAACATTGTGGGAGTAAGGTCACTCACATGACTTGGGGAAGCTACAAAGAACAGAAAAGGATAAAATGTATGCTATGTGTTTAAAGTTATATTTGTGTATCAGTGCTTTGCAAGGATGTACCTGTCACATTTTTCTTCACAGCCCGTGCATAATTTCTCACTGGTGGTTGAAGTGTGAAGCTCCCTGCAAGAAATAAAATAATGTTTTGAAAATGTACAGGATCAATTGAAGTTTAGAGAAATATGATTTATTTTGAACTATGGCATTTCAGTCTTGCCACTGGACATGGCCAGAGTTTTACAACTATAGCTTTCTTTGTGTATTAGTGAAACATCATAGACTAAATTGCTTATACTGTGCTCTAGCTCACTGCTATCAAACCAGATTGCAAGATGAGTGGTTTCACAATAACCTCATATAACCATCGCTGATGACATTTCCTGTCAAATGTTGATCACCGGGTTTTGACAGATAAAACCGATGTGTTTGTGTGTCTGCTGTGTCTTTATAAATACAAATACAAATGTTTGTCTTACATATCATTCAGCAGTTTTAGAAGGTAATGAACCAGGAAGTTATCAGCTTGTTAAAATGACGCAAGATAATTCACCATCAGACGCATTTTGCATTAGACCACATTTTCCATGTTGAGTAATGAGAACTCAGAGATTGGTTGATTTCTGTGTAACTGCTTATTCATACACTACATTTGCAGTAGAGGTGTAACAAAGCATCTTGCCACATTCCACTGAACCGCAAAAATATCACATTATTATTATTATTATTATTATTATTATACATAGCGGACAGCTTTTATGACAGCTCTTCAACCCAATTAAGTGAATAAATGGATGTATTTGAATTGGTTTTATAAACAAAGAATTTGTCTCTAAATTCTGAAATTTTCAGTTTGTTTCTCACCTAAATAGGAATAACAGCACAAAAAACTGTATTTAATGTCATTGCCATCTCAGGCTAGATAATGCCAAGCACCTTACGATACATAGGTATCTCAGTACTGGGTTCATGATAATGTATCCTGCACTTGATTATTGTGGTTAAAACAGATAACTTGTAATTCACTACTGGGGACCTACTGTACATTTTTTATAACACTTTTCTTTGGATTTTAGCACAGAAAAAAGGGGCTTTAAATAGCTGTTTTCACAATATACAATACAAAAATGCAGCAGAATTTCAAGTCTACATTGCCCTTAAAATCATAACACCATTGCCTTGCTGTGAATAAGTCACTATTTCAGCCTAGCACATTCCTAATGAAATAGCATAGTTTTAAGGTATCCCAATACAGCATCTTGTATCGATATGTGTATTACCACGAAGTCAAATGTTGATGTCTTGCATAAAATTTGACAAATTTTCAATGACTCTCTACTAGCCACTGGCCACTGGAGGCTATTACAGAGTTCCTGTGGTCTCCTAAGATGTGGTGTGCTGGGGTAGGGGAGTGAAGGAAGACAATACAGACAGAGAAGCTGGGACTGTCCTGAGTCCAAATAATTTCCCTTGTGAAGTCTTGTGAAGGGCTGCTGGAGAATCAAAGCACATTTATTTGCATCTACCTACTTTAAGACTGTAACGATTTCAAACCAATTAGAAATCTTAATAATGGTATATTCTCACCAATCAAAATATATAAAGGGTGCATAGGCCTACACTCATGATTGTCAGGATCTGACACTTCATCATGAAAATATAGCATGCAAATGTTCTGCATCACTGCCACTTCCCCATTTTCCAAAATACTTTTCTTTACCCATTTATCTAATATTATACATATTATCTAAGTAGTGTGCCCCTAGCCCATCACATTTTATATTTTTTATTGATGGTCACACGGTCTGGTGACAATTTCCTCCTCAAAATAAACAATGCTCGCTGCTGATGCTAGAGGACCGAGCCATGCCACACCATTGAAGTGTCGATCTTATAATACAATAGTCATGAGTACTATGAACAATTTGACCCACTGATTAATCATATTTACCACATTTGACGTTTGGTCCTGATACTGGAGTCGCTAAACATGCTAGCGACGCCGCAGACAAAGCTGAACAAACCGCGCTGCTTTCTCGAAAAATACAACCAGACGACCGCAACACACTCCTCAGGGCGATGTTTGTGAACATAGCTACAAATACCGTAACGATCTAATATGTACAGTGTCTAAAAGGAGTTTCATGAAGCAAAAATACAAGCACGACCCCTAGTAGAGAGACGCCATCTTAACTAGACTAAACCAATCGAACTAGAGCATAGTTGTATCTAGAAGAGCAGTCGATACCAGAAAACATCTATTAAAATCACGCTGCTCAGTTAGTAAACAAACCACATTCACTATCTATTTTTATGAATATTAAACAGCATAAAGAGTGACAATGAAAAAAAAAAGTGTGAAAAAATAAGAAAAATGCATTATGTTCTATATATTTAATTAACTGAAAAATAATAGCTAATAAAAATTTTAATGAAGCACTAACAATTAGACCTTTTGTAGAAAAACACATTTATTTCAACTAAAACAAAGATGGCATAAAAGACAATCAATTGTGGAATGTAGAAATTCATGAATTAATTAATTAATTAATTTTTTTATTTTTTAAAAGATGAGTAACCAGTCAACCAATGATTTTATGACACTTATTCAAAACCGAACAGAAAGCAGGTCTACACATTTTTATTTAACAATTGTTAATCAGCCTCGCTTTTGTAACATTCCTTTCACAGACAGTCTGTGTCACACAGACACAGTCACAGAATTTCACAAATCACTTTTATTCATTTTCAGCATCCTTCATCGCCAGTGCTCTCAGGAAAGGAAACTCATCCCAGCTGATATTTGGCTCTGGCACCTGCTCTCTCTCATCACTGTCACTTGAACCAAAGAAACACTGCTCTTCCTTTGTCTTGTCAGCTGTGATGTTCTGGTAGCACTTTGGAGTGAAGGCGTCTTCTGCCTCCAGGAGCGGCTGGGTGGACTCGGAGCGCAGGTAAGAGTGATCCTCTCTGGGGGCGGGGCTAGTGCTTGGGCTGGAGAAGAGGACAGTGGCGTATGGGACTGAGTCACTGTTAGAGCCGCAGTACTCAGGGATGAACGGAGAGCCACAAATGGACTCCCCGAGGTCACTGGTCTCCTCCACTCTGTTCAGCCAGCAGTCATCCTCCTCCTTCTGGATCTTTGTAGGCAGATCCAGGAAGCTGACATGGGACAGATAAACTAGGCTGGATTCTTTACTACTAAAGGTAGGCATGTTGTCCTACAAAAAAGAGTAAAATGTAGCGTCAGTGCCCCCTACTGCATAACGTGGTCATTGCACCAGTCAACCATCAAATAGGCTCAACGCTTTAGTTAATGTCTTAACTTGCTACTATATTGACTTAGTATACTACTACTACTACTACTAATACTATTACTACTAATACTACTACTACTAATAATAATAATAGCAGGCAGTTAATATTAACATACAAATATCAACAAACATCAATAAAGTTCATTTAAAACAGATGTTTGTTTTTTCTTGCTTGTTGTGTGGACAACCTTTGGGGTCCACCCTGCAATGCTTCCGAGCCCCTCTTTAGTTTGGGAATAAATACATAACTAAATTATTAGATAAGCAGCCAACTTATATTAGCATTTTAGCACAACTAATTTATGTTTACAACTGTTGTAATACAACTGTTATATTGTATTTGTCATCACCTCTAAAGATTCTGTTGACCATTCCTTGATGCTGCTGTTGGCTGGATCAGGGATAATCGGACAAAAATGTTTCTTAAATCTGTAAGTGCAAAAAAAAAACCACAACTGTCAGTAAAACAATTTAAAATATTAGAATCTATGAGCAGTTAGGACCTTACCTTCCACGAGGAGAGGAATAATAAACAAATGTTATAATGCAGGCCACAATCAATACCATAATGACTGAGACGACAGTCACAACAAAAACAATATCTGGGAAAATAAAGAAAATTGCATTATAGTGTGTCTGTGTGGATGTAATGTTTCTATACATGATACTGACCAAAAGATTCAGTTTTGAAGTGAATTGTTGACCCATTCAGACTTCCGCCATAAGTAGACACCATCAACAAGGCTTCATACACAGTCATAGGGTTGAGGTCTTTAAGAAGGACTCTCCTTTCATCTGGCTTGGCATGCACAACTAGAAAAACACATGAAAGCATTGAATAAATAGAAAACATGATGACCTCTTACGACCTCTTGTATATAGCTGAGATATATATTTGCATTACTATTTTTGCTACTTATTTTGAATGTATTATTACCATTTATATTTTAGCTCTTTGTTATTATAATATATTGTGATGGGTGAGCCACTGTCTCCAAATAATTTCCCTTTAGGATCAATAAAGTTTTTCTAACTCTATGTCTAAGACAACACAGAACAGCATTTCACTTACCACTGATGGGGCCATTTTCCTCATGGTACAACACTTTGTAGCCTTGAATTATCCCATTTCTTTGGTCCAGTGGAATCTCGTCCCATATCAGCTCCACATCAAACTGCCAAGCATTTTCAATTCTGAGTTTTGGCACCATTGAAGGAGCTTTAAAAATGCAAATATAAAAATGTAGTTAAAATGTGTGACTACATACTTTTTATGTATAAGTTATTGGGTATATTTTGTAGTAGATGTATGCAGTTAAAGGGCCCATATTACATGCTTTCTCATCTTATAATGTTGTTTCCTCATCAAAAACATACCTGGAGTTGTGTTTTATTTCATTCACACATGTTTAATACACAAACCCTGCATATTTAGGCTTGTTTTCTCAAACTGAAAACGCTCTGTTCCACCTTATGATGTCATGTGGTAATACTGGAAGTGTTGCACTGTCTTTTTAAACTCCATACACCTTCACTAGAATCATTTGCTAAATAGTCAATGGTTAGACTAATACGCATAAAAGACAAGACACATTTATATTGCTTAATGAATGCTTAAACTGCCAAAAAAAGAAAAATCTTACATTTTTGGTGGAATTTTTGGTGTTGATGACATAGGTATTGCGTGTTAGAAATTGTACTTCCTGTATTTTGTAGGCCTACCTTTATATTATTTTTATGATTTTTATTTTCCACATGTATTATCCCACTCAACCAAGTAATAATCTAAGAAAACAGTGAAAAGTTGTCATATGCACTTTAAAGTTGCACTCTGTAGCTTTTTCTGATAGGGGGGGTTCTCCACCTAATTGTCTCCATGGATATGTTGCTGCTTTGTCTGGATGTTCCACAGTATGCCATAAAATGTATCTGTCTTATGTTAAGTGAATTATAGGTATTTTTAATGCCTCAAAATACCTTAAAACATGTGTTCTCAATGTCAGTGTAGTCACTTTTCCACAGATCTGACCTGTAACTTGGCCTTGTGTGGAGTCACTTGCTTGTTTTGTTGAAAGAGGATATGTTTAATACTGTACTGTAGAAAATTCCAGGCAAACAAACACATCTCCATGGAAACAAGCAGTTGGCTGACCCTCTATCAGGAAAATTACACATTGCACCTTTGAGTACTTCTCTTTATCGCTAAACAGCAATGGTTGGTAGAGAGATACACAGTGGTGGAAGGAGTACTCTATTTTGTTACTTAAGTAAACTCAAGTAAAAGTAACACATCACAAAAGAATCTACTTAAGTAAAAGTATTAAGGTACCTGTTTAAAAATGTACTTAAAGAGTAAAAAGTAAAAGTATTTTTTGCAGTTTGTGGAGTAGAAAGTAGAGATACCTTCTCTCAGATGTAGCAAAGTAAAAGTAAAAAGTATCAACTATAAAATTTACTTAAGTAAAGTACAGATGCCTAACATGTATACTTGACTACTTTTACTTGTTGTGCTCCACCACTGCTAAACAGTACAAACAAATCTAACTGCACACCTTTGTACACATTTGTCCACCAGAGGGCATTGCACCACCACTTATCATATTTCCCTGGCTCTTACGAGAAGCCTGTATTTGAAAGCACCTTGACCTCTGTCTTGCTCATAGGTCTGCTTGCTCTTTGTGTGATCTTGTCTGGGGCGTTTGGTGACTTACCCTTTTGTCTTGAGAAGGCATTAGCAGTCTGAGGCAGGCCGATCCCATCCTTAAACCGGGGATACACAGAGATCCCATAGGGCTTGTATGGCTCAATGCTGTCTATTGATGAGAGAGGAGAGGTTAGCCTGGATCAGTGAACCTTAAGCTGCTAACTGTGTACGGGCAGGCCGTTCACGCACAAGAGGAGCTGTTTGAAATCACGCTGGATGATGAGATTAGCAGAAAAGTGAATAAAAATAAAATACTACCTGATATGATGAAGCTGGTATGGCTTTTGTTTGTGGATTGAAATTGTAGATTGGCCAGGTCTGGCTTTAGTAAAGGTATCCATTCTATCACAAAATCAAGGAGAGAGGGGGCATCGACACTTGTCCACTTGACCATAAGTGATCTGTCGTCATATGGAGTGACGGTCAAATCTGTAACAACTGAGTAATCTACAGAGAGAAAGCATTCAGCATTACACTCATTACATAAAACCAGGAAAATATTAAATAGGGTATATGACTCACATGGATGACCACATACACTACTAAATACATACTATATACTATTACGAAAAACACAATTTGTAATGCCAATAGTTATGGTTATGATATGTTTTTTCCTACAATTATGGTAGGCAATAGCATATTCTATAGAACAGAAATATAGGCAACTGTTAAACATGCCAACTGCCCCTGCACTATTCTCCTGCTTGTTATTTCTTCACTTCTTTTATATTTTGCCCAATTTGATTCATTCATTCATTCATTTTTAGCTTTTGTTTTATTCATGGTCTTTTGTTGTAATGTTTTATCCATGTTTTGTTGAAATGAATTGTAATTTTATTCTTTTAACTGTGCTTGATTTGATTTGGACTGCTACAACTCTCATCAGTTTTATTTTACAATACCATTCATTTACTGGCCAAACTCACCTTGTGACAAATAAATAAATGTATTCATATATGTATGTGTTTATGTGTGTATGTGCGTATGTGTGTATGTGTATATATATGTATATATGTATGTATGTATGTGTGGCTAACCTTTGTTGTGGTAAATGCGTATGGATTTGGCCTGTGATCTCCCTGCCCCATTGACAGCGCTCAGATACACCTTGCTGGCTTTAGCTGGGGCTTGGAAAGTGCAGTGCCTCTGTACAGTAGCACACAGCTGGCCCTTCTCCCCGGGCTGCTTCACTCGGGACACCACGTATGACACATTCTGCCCGTTGGCTTGAAACTGTCTGGACGGCTGTGAAAACACCACCACATATTTGACAAAGAGACCTCTGGCTCACGTAGATCTGTGACAGGTGTCAGGCAAACTGCGTGATCCGTGTACCTTCCAAAACAAATGGACGCTGACTTGTTTGTGCGTGTGATCCCCTGACACCTTCATCCAGGAATCGAGACCTCCGCTGGGGGCTGGAAAGAAGAAGCAAGCGCCTGTCAGTTTCACAGCTTGTCAAAAAGCACCTCCTCTATTCTCCAGTCTTTAGAAAGGCAAACTTTTCTATACAAGACACTTCTATGGATTCTCTGCCAGAGTGTACGGCAAAACTCAATATATCAATTCAGCCTGAGCCACCGAGCAAAGCAGTGGGAGGTGTAAAACATGATATTAGCATATATTGAAAAGGCCAGGAAATGGAAGAAAAGACAGCAAATTGGAGAAGAGAGACAGACGGAGAGAGAGGGGCTGATTGTTGCGCCTGGCATTGATCTGAACCCACCACTTTCCAAGGTGACTCCAGTGCGCTCCCCGCTCCACTCGCTCCAGGGGCTTTGTCGGTATCTCACCCGCATCTGGGCCACATACCGAGTCCCATGTGAAAGCAGACACTGGTCTATGGCTTTGGATGGTCGTGATCGTCTCTCAAAGGTCTAAAGAGGAAATACAGAGATACAGTAGTGAATCACCGGGTGCCTTCAGCCCAGTCAAAAAAAAACATTTTTTGGAGTGTGGTGTGGTATAGAAATACTGTGATATGTGATAATGTAGAAGGCCATGTAGACTTTTTATTTTAAAGATACACTGTGTACTTTCCGGCTGGATGGTCTGTCACCATGGTGATGTTGCTTTGTCTGAAAATTTTCACTGTATTAAATTATCTATTTTCACGGAGACAAGACCAGTGCCAATTTGCAGGTCCAATTTCTGGAGAGGTAGGCATGCTTACAGTAGAATGTATATTTTTTAAGGTATTGTTTTCATGTAAAAAAAAAAAAAAAAAAAAAAAAAAAAAAAAAAAACTATAATTAAATAATAAGCAAGTTTAATGTCATACTGTGGTACATTCCTGGGAAAGCAAAAAGTATATCTCCATGCACACAACCAGGTGCTGGAAAGTTACATAGTGTACTTCAAGTAAAATCAAAAAAAAAAAAAAAAAAAAAAAAAATATATATATATATATATATATATATATATATATATATATATATATATATATATATATATATATATATATATATATATATATATATATATATATATATATATATATATGAAAAAAAACAAAACAAAAAAAACAACACAAAACAAAAAAATAATAAATCTAAGCTGCAATAAATATGAATCATAGAGAAACAGTAAAAATCTTGTTAGGTTAAGCCTAGAAATCCCAGGGAACAACATGCTCCTATATTACCATGTTAGAGTAAGCCATGTTAGTATATTGTTACTTCCCCAAAACCATACCGGGAGTAGTGTTTTGTTTCATTCAAACATGTCTGAGAAATCCTTTATTATTAGTCTGTCAACATCTCCAAAGCTCAAAATGCTCTGCTCCACCTTGTGATGTCATGAAGCGGTAGTTTTCATGTTAACAGTTACCTTTTAATTTTAGTTCAGTAGAGATTGTTTAGCAAAGTTGTTTAGCAGAACATTTTCAGGGCTGAAATTATCCAAATTATTCTAGTGAAGGTGCATTGAGTTCAAAAACACAGTGGAGAAAGGTGGAACAGTGTTTTCAATTTGTGAGAAGAACTCAGTGAATATGTAGGGTTTGTGTGTGAATGAAACAAAACACAACTGCAGATATTTTGATGATGAGGAAACAACATTATAACACAGATCAGAAAATGGAGGAATATGGGCCCTGAAATATTGCTTATCTTTTAGACACTTACTTGCATATTATGGTTTCTCCCTGGTTCTGCAGGTTTAAGCTGCACCTGTACATTCATCACATCATGGACCCAGGACTCGTGTGCGGAGAGCTTCCAGTGGATTCTTAGACAGCCGTACTTCTTGGACAGTGGGCGGACATACAGAATCTCAGGAGGGTCAAACTTGGCTGCGCCGAGGGGCTCCACAACCACTGGTACTGATGTGGTCTCACCGAGCGCATTCTGGGCTTTCACATAAAGCACCATGTCCGAAAACCAGGTGAAGTCCGAGCGAGGGATGCTGTAGTGGTGCTGCCCTGGTGGTAGGGTGTAGTTAAAGTTTTTCCTTCTTTCTCTATATGGAAGTTAAATAAATATGTTAAAATATATAATAAAAAAACAATGCATTTTCAGCACTACTACATGTAAATAATACTTTACCGTATAGCTGTATGTAAGCTGTACTTTGTGGGCAAATGGCTGTCCTTCCCTGGGTCCCAGCTACACAACATCGTGCTGGGTGTGGTCAGGTTGGTTTGACAGTGCAGGTTTTGAGGTAATGATGGAAGATCTATGAGAGAAATACTTTTGTTATTACATGAAAAAAAGAAAGAAAAAACAAGAAAGAAGAAAGAAAAGATACATTGAACTAAATTGCAAACTACAGTTTTTTTTGTTTTGTTTTTTAAGCTGAGTGCCATTGAGTCTTCATTGCAATTTTAGAATTTGTAAAGGATGATTATTTTACTTTTCTTTTATTCATTCGCTTTTACTTCTAACAGCTTTTTCCTTTGTTCTTTATTTTGGTTCCTCATTAGCTTACACGAGTGGCTGCCAGTTGTCCTGGGGTCCTTAAAATGTAAAATTACAGTATTTGCATATTGTTAGCCTGATAGCATAATTTTCAGTCATTTTTTTAAGGTTTTCAGGAAAATACAAAAATAAACTGTCAATAAGATGGAGCGTCTCATGTATTTTTGGCTTTATAACTGACATGACAACTCAAAATCACAGCAGTTATACGATAAAGTAAAAGTTAAAGGTCCTATATTAAATTAAATTGACTCTTTTGAGCTTTACCATGTTATAATGATGTTACCTCCTCAAAAACATACCTGGAGTTGTGTTTGGTTTCACTCACACATGTTTGAGTACTTCTTTATTATTAGTCTGTCTACATCTCCAAACCTCAAAATGCTCTATTCCACCTTGTGATTTCATGAAGCGGTAGTTTTCAAGTTAACAGCTACCTTTTACCTTTAGTTTGGTTGTAAAAGGCAATTTCAGAGCTGGAATCCCCCAAATTATTCCAATGAAGGTGTATTGAGTTTAAAAACACAGTGAGCCCTTTCTGGATTATCACATAAAGTGAAAGTATCATCAGAAAGTGGAAAAAAGTGTTTTTTGTTTGAGAGAAGAACTCAGCATTCATTGCATTGTTACAACAATAGAGAGAGCCTACATTATATATTTGATTCTATTACACAATCAAAAACAGCTATTTGCAATTATATATTAAAAAGTTACACACTCAAAAACGTCTGACTTGTACAAAATAAATAAAAAACTAATAATTTCTTTTAAAGTTCGCCTTACATCCAGCTCTGATTTGCAGTCCTCCCACTATCTGCGGTGGTGTGGTGCGGACAGTGCAGATGAGGTAAGCCATGGTGCTGTTGAAGTTGGGTATAACAATAGTAGACATGAGTCCACTCTGATTGGATGCAGAGCCGCTGGGGAGAGCTTGTCCATCCAGGTGCCAGTCTATGGTCACACTCGGGGCGACGGGCACTGGGCAGTCCTCTCTGATAGTACAAGAGGCTGATACAGGGGACTCCAGGACCACCACTGAGCTGGGCGTCTTCACCTCTGCACACGGCTGAACAGTGTCCTCTAACATATGAGAGAAACATGAGAAATTAGTTACACTTAAGTTATTAGGTTCTTTTTTTCAGACCAAGAGCTTGTTTTCATACCTGACAGTTTTGACTGCTCACTAGCGGTCTTCCACAGAGTGGTCACTTGATGTTGCTGTGATGTGTCCGGTCAGCTGATTTATACAGGTTTTGGTGCTGTCTTTCTACCGGTGGAAGTAGAATGACAGCGCTAGTCTGGTTTCCTCAGGACAGTATTCCAGGTGTGTGAGAGTAAAAAAAAAAACCTCGACCCGCACACGTCACAGCAACATCACGTGATCACTCTGAGGAAGACCGCTAGTGAGCAGTCGAAACTGTCAGGTATGAAAACAAACTCTTGGTCTGAAAAAAAGAACCTAATAACATAAATTATCGGAAGACCAAATGAACCTCATTGTCCTAGACATAGACTTAGACAAACTTTATTGATCCACAAGGGAAATTATTTGTACACAGTATCTCCCACATCTCGATATATTATAATAACAAAGAGAAAAAAATATATAAACGGTAATAATAAATTCTAAAGAAGTAGCTAACATAGCAAGAGACTGGGGTCAAATAAGGCATATAAATGTATAAAAAAGAAAAATGTAATACTACAAGTATGTCTCCCAGCTATATACAAGAGGTTGTAAGAAGAAGAAGGGGGGGGGGAATTTCACTATTATTTAAAGGAGCACTATGCAACATCTCTTTGTCTCTATGGAGATGTTATTTCTATGTCTGAAATGTTCCACAAAATACAATAAAACATCTCATATTTCTTTTATTCTTCAAAAATATATTGAAAAACAGGCATTAATACTGTGATGTGAGGGAGGTAACCACTCCACAGATCTGACCAGTAACTTGGCCTGACAGAGTCATCTTGTCTCTATATTGATACATATGTTGAATGGCTTACTGCGGAAGATTTCTGGTAAAGCTACACTATCTGAAGCAGGTGGCTGACCCTCCACCAGAAAATGTACATAGTGCAGTGTTAAATATAGTTGAAGTGCACCACTCCTTTTTTAGAAATTTTCTAGAGCTTTTAATCATATTAAAGTTGTTTCCTCTTCTCATTTCCCCCGCTCGAAGTTGTATTTAGACTGAATCATGTCTGTCTGAGTAATCTTTATACTCATCATTGTTCTCATCAACCCCCATTTTTACCGCCACTGGTACACACCCACAGCTTTGTACTGATTCCAATTTTCATTTCTTAATAGGTGATAAACATAGGAATTGACAGTGCTGCGTAGCCATTTTTGCACAAAGTAATCTGAATGTCTTTTTTAAGCTACAGCACTTCATAAATGTCTGTTTTTGTAATTGTCCAAATACTGGATTAGTAAAGATGTGGTGGGTCTTGTTTTTTTTTTTTTATGTATTTATTATTTCTACTGTACATCTTGCAGCTACTCTTGTTATGTTACTCTCATAGCACATAACGCTAGAATCTATAGTTTGTTTATCTGAATAACTGAAGTCACAAATGTTTTCTTTATGAATGTCTTTACTATGAGCTTGGGATCTAGATTGGCGCTCTCTGTATTTTCTTATAAGTTACTCGATCTCTTAAGCTTCTGTAAAGTTCATAGTTTCCCCCACTATAGTAAAGATAAACCGTGAAGTGGCTAGCCAGACTAATCCAGTATTGCCTTTATCTGTCATAATTTGTCAAGTAGATAAACAACTTTAATACTCCCAGAAAGTTTCCTCCCTTTCCTTTGTTTTTGAATGTAAAAGGTTAGAAACAAACAGAGGACTGGGCTGTTTATGATTCATGCAAAATACTAACTAGCCTGTTTACAATTTCAAATTTTAGACAAAGGGAAAAGTATAAAAATAAATATGGAGGAGTTAGCACAGGAGGAGAGGGAATCTTTTTTTTTTTTTCATGGCAAGCATGAAAGCAAACATGCAAATGCTTTATACATTTTTGGGGACATACATCTGTACAATGCATCCCTATAGAGTCCAAGAGGATGGCTGTGACTAACATATATCTTTTCTACCCTAATGTTGCTGGTGCCAAACTTTGAATTTCCTTCGGGATAAATAAAATCTCTATCTGTCTATTTATCTTTAATTAACATTTGCATAAAACAAACATGCCAGATTATAGCGACCAAGTTAAAGTTCATCTGACAGATTTTTATGATTCTCAAATTCTCAATTCTCAACTTACTTTGGTGGGATTTTAACTATTGTAAATATAAATTTTAACTTTGCACAAAACCAAAAAGCAATCCGAGAAGAAAAGTAAAAAAAAACGAAAAACATATGTTGAAAACTACAAAAGTAGAGAGAATTCTATCCAAAAGTTTGGCAGATTTGACAGAAACACATTTTTTTCTGATATTTTAGATAATAATTCAACCAAATGAGGGTGTTTTCTTACATTTGTATTTATCAGATAATAATTTCTGTGTGCATTAGAGGTGTTTTTGCTCGGTAACGGTTCCCTAAAAATTGAAATTCCCTAGCGTGAGTAGGAAGTAAAGTTTTGAACCTAAAAAAAAAGTCTAACCTATAGTCACTTTAATTTACATCCAATGTCCCTTCAATGGGTAATAAAATAAGTCAAAAGTAATACATACAAAAATAGTAGATTAGATATAAAACACAAGGAAATGTCAAAAATTAAATTAGCATGTCTCAGTTCGGTAGACAAATACCACGACTAAAACTACAAAACCATTCCCACACTTTGTATTCGACCTGACAGAAAAATCAAACTCAGAGTAAGAAAAGGTGTAATAACTATCTCCCTGTAACTGCTGGTTAGCCATTTCCATTTAGATGTGCCTTTTTCACTCACCATTCCTCTCCCCATTCACCAACGCCAACAGCATGACAATCAGAGACAGCCGTGTGAAAATCATCCCGATAAACCTGTGAGGCAGACGAAATGAGAAAATATTATGAAAAAACCTGCACTCATGGCCAATCGGAACAGCATTTGAACTGGCTTCCAGGTGAATGACATGGTGTATTGTGTAAGGATGTACTGACAATGATAAAGCCATAGAGATGTGCTGTTCAGGTGTGTGGAATGGCATGTGATCTCCATAACGCACTATAGTTCAATCTAAAGAGACAGGTCCTCATCATAAATATTGAATCATCTCTTCACGCAGCTCTCGTCAGTAAAAGAAATGCCTGGGTCCACAGATATTGAAAATGATTGCAAATGACATTACAGGTATCTTAGAAAAAGAATTCAAAATCACAGCTGACATTTGATATCGCAACATTGTCTCTTATTCTTGTTCAAGAAGTCCTCCAAGCAGACTGGGACATTATAATTTCAGGTGTTCGATGAGACCCACTGTTCCATAGCTAAGTTTTTTTTTTTTTGCACTGAGAAACTTACGTTCTTACTGTAAGGGGCTTGCATCTCAAACAAAACTGACTCTCATTTGGCCTGGAGGAGAACCTTCTCCTGCTTGTTTCCATGGAAATGTTGTCCCTTTGGCTATACTATTCCACAGTATGGCATAAAACATATCTATATCTATGAAGAAAGTTTCAAAGTATGGTTTTAACTTTCTATTTCCATGTGACACCTCCACAGAGGTGCCCCTCAGGTGCATCTCACCATGGAGGGAGGAAGAAAAAATACTCACCATTTCAAGTTCAGTTTCTTGGAGAAAGTGTCATCTTCAACTTTTCCAGGATGAAAAATTTGAAGTTTTTTGGCAAGTGTCTGTAAAATAAAGAATGAACTATCAAAAACATCTGTTCGTTTAAATCACAACTGAGTAATGACCTGGAAATTAACATTAAGAAAATGTTAATTTAAATGTGGTTAATAGTTGACAAAAACAAAGCCAATAAAAAAAAAAAAAAAAAGTTCTATTACCCCCTTAACGCCTGAATTTATATAGATGTATAATAAAAAAAATGTTTTGTATATGTTTTTGCCTTTAAGTAGATGGTAAATTAAGCTGAAATTATTAATTTGACTATAGGAAAAAATAATAATAAATAGAAATTTGTGTATGTTGCAAATTTGCGAGAACTAGAAGTGCTTTCCAAAGGTTCCTAAGATATGCACTAACCGGCATTGGGGGAATGCAGCCGCTATCTCAGCTTATATCTTGATCCAAAATATTTGTTGTATATTTGTGACACTCTGCATTAAGGGGTTACAGGTGCATTTTTCCGGTGAGGGATCAGTCACATGCTTGTCTCAATGGAGATTTTTTTGCTCTGACTGAAATGTCCCACAGTACTGCTTGCAAACTGTGTAACATTTAAGACAAAACCAATTACATCAAGTAGATAACAGCCCTCCATAAATAAGTGACATAGTGCAACTTCTTAAAAATTATGAATTCCAGCATTTATATAATGTGGAGTAGAATTATCTCTAATGTGATTGTATATGTTATGCCTGTTATAAGTAGCTGTCTGTAGGGGAAAATGTCAAAAATGCATATAGAAAATCTGACAAATTTGCTCTCTCCAAAGAGCACCTACATTTTTTCTGTCTACAAATTTGAACTACTTAGACAGCACTTCTCACCATCTTTTCTTTGCAATGAATGTACATCCATATAGCAACATTCAGTAATCCTCCTACACCAAGTTATCGGTCAAAACAGCATGTTGTTTTAGCTTGTTGGCCAGACCTCTACAAAACTGTTCAAATTGAAAACATTAAGCAAAGTCCTTGGATCACAGTAAAAGATATCCACGTCTCTAGTTATCAGATTTCCATTAGCCCACTTCTAATGCACCATCTCGACTGGGCACTGTTCCACCTCTAGGCACAGAGTTACTTCTGGAGATTCAAATTGAACCAAACCCGACAAAGAGCTGCTGTATATTAATAATTTGTAATTCAAAAGATGGTGTCAAATCGCTAGCACCAGTCCACAATAACCTGCTATTTGGTGAAGTGTTTGCTAAAGCACAGTCGCAAATAGACTTTCTCACAGTTTCTTATCAGCGGTGTGCATAAAGGCCTTCATTCTGCTTCCAATTTCACATCTGTGTTGACAGCCACGCTCAATAATTGTCTGTAGCAAGAATGCAATTGGTGAAGAGAGAGAGGAAAGATGAGATTTTTTGTGTTTTTTTGTAATAAAAAAGACTAAATAAAGTTTTTGGAAATTGATTCTCGAGTGAACGTGAGTAGTTGGAAAAAACTGGTAAGCAACTGACGCCATATGTTTCCTGATGGGGGTTACAGCACGCCCACTTTCAGGATTTAGCAATGTCCTTCGTGACGAATTCCTCACTATTTCCTCTTTTTAGCTGAATTTTCACGGTAAATAGTATATTTATTCAATAATTCTGAAAGTAAACTAAGTTAAGATATAGTTTTCTAATGGGAGGTACCAAAAGGAATGGATTGAAAGATTTGGTTTTTAAGTCAGCAGTTACAAAACTCCAAGAGTCTAGAAAGGTGGAATACATATAGTTTCACATCCTGTTTTTAAGAGTGCAAAAAAAAAAACAACAAGTTCCTACTTACTGTTGTTCTAAGAATGTAAACGTACAATATTTTTATTGGAAAATCTGGGAATTATCTGTGCTTGAATTATAAAGTTTCATTTTCTACCATTTTGAATCAAGCAATTATTAGGCTGAAAACCAATATAACCAAAAAATATATACTTCTAACACTATAAGAGGATGAGTTTCAGTTTCCCATTATAATATTTAAAAGATTTTTTCCCATTGACCTCTTTTAAATGTAAATATATTAGTAAACATTTAAAGAAATTTTCTTTTAAATTATTAATCGCAATAGCAACACATGGATTGTCATCATTCTGAACTCCAACATCATACAATAAAGTGTCTTCTATAATCAAACAAACATCAAAACTGTAATCTAAGTAAGAGAAATTCTTTCTACATCAACCAAGTATCCATCTGTATGTAAATACAACAACAACAACAAAACTCTTTAAACTCTTTAAACATTTATTCAAAATATTCTTGGAAAATAAAAAGGACTGGACTTCTAAGAAATTGTGTACCAAGCCATTATAGTTTCCTTTAAAATACAAGAATGAAAGGAGCAGCTAATGGTTTGAAGTGAACACAGGCTCTGGACTAAAAGTACTCACCACAGAGGAGCTGTAGAGACGCTGTCCGCACTGAGACACAATGGAAACTGTTCTAACCAACATCCTCATTTGACCTTTGTGAAACTTCACTATTTTTCAGGAAGACGCACGAGAGAAATGGGGCCCACTTTTAGGAATGTAGAAGAAGGATGCAGTTTGCCAACATAAGATGCAACTGATAGAATTTTAAGAATCAAGATTTATTTGGTCATTTTGAATCATCAGTGACATTCACTGTGGGGAGAGGTGTACAGCCATTCTTTGTCAGTGAAAACATTCTGTGTGGAGCAGAGTCAGACTTTAGATAAGAATTTTTAATGACAATGAATAAAAGTCTGCATTGTTTAGGTTCAAGACAAGTCAAAGTTACATAATGTAACAACGGTTCTATGAATACCGGATGAAAGCCAGGCATTGCTTAAAGTACTAAATGATCATTACTGCACTGAACCATTCTGATATGTTTTCTATAAGACAAAATAAAAGCAAATAGAAAATGATTAATCATACCTGCATTTATTATAATGTGGACTGATGAGCGTCTGGAGAGAGTAATGTTCTGAAGTGAATGAACTGAATGACGATTTTGATAAGGATGATGTTTTTAAGATGCTGAGAGAACTGGGAGTAAATGATGATACAGAATTGTTTTGATGCTCCGGACATTATAAAGACATTCTCGTGTATGTTTGATTTTATGAACTATACCATCAACTTGCCCGGGGACTCCAGGTGGAAATTAGCACTGACGCTATAACTTGGTACAATGCATCTCTCCTGTTAAGGTCAGTGTACTGTATATTATGCCCTGTCCCTGTCTCATTAAATAACTAAACTAAACTAAACTAAACGTTCCATTTTAGGTGTTTTTATTGCTCAAAAACACCTTGAAAATCATGCACTTTTACAATGTCTGGGCTCACTTCTCCACAAATATGGCATGTAAGTGGCATCACTGCTAGTCTCAATGTTTAATGCCATAGTGTGAACATTCCAGACAAAGCAATAACATTCAACAGTGGCACATCCTCAGTCATATGGTGCACCTTTAAAGTTTTTAGAATGATGTAAACTACTTCAAGAAGTGGAGTCTATCACTGCACATTTTTCTTTATTGTAAAAATCTGTACTTACAGGATTTAGCTTCCTGTTGGTACTCTTTTGAGAATGATTGATATAATGAGTTCTGAACTGTTAGTTACTATGGCAACACTCCTAACTTTTCCCCATTCTGAAACCCATGGATAGTTGTTTTATACTCACACCAGTTATTTACTCTGATAAGGTGTCCAAAAGAAGTTGAAAAAGCCTGAATAATTCAAAAGAGAACCTTTGCAGAGCGTCCAGTATTGAGGAAAAAAACGGCTGCTATTCAACTATTTATGACGTTTTTACTTTTTAATATATCTGCAGAATGCCCTCCAACATTACTGAGTCTGCAATAAGTCTTCGGAACCATGACCTTACAAGACTTCTGCTGCGTCACCCATGCTATCCCCCCCACCCACTCACCCACCCATAGCCCTGTCCCTTTGTCAGCATGATAATAGAACAAGCTCTTAAATGAGATTGTAAACTCCATCTTGACCCCCCAAGGGCACTGGAAACTACTTGCCATATCACGTTTATTAGCTTATTAAATGCTAAAATGATTCTCTAGCTACGGCCTCATTTTGTGGAGCGAGCTAACCCACACTACTGTTCCTGCCGCCAACGCCAGTGTAATGATACTAACTAAGTGGGTATCGAGAGGGCGCTGGAGACGAAATTAAACGTAGATTTTTGAGCAAGAGTCACCCGGAGAGTAGGAACGCACTCGCTAATTAAAAACACATTAACGGGTTATCATACGTTGACATATTCCGCATGATCTTTTTTTCCCTAATCAGTGGTAATGAAGGAAATGCTCCGCTTCCATTGGGTATTACATGCAACATTTCAGTGAGCAGTAAAATTAGCTGAAGGCCCACAGGCTAGAATTGATGAAGCTTCACTGCTTTTGATTACGATTCTTGTACTGTACGTTGGCTAATAGAAAGCTGGGTCCTCATGAGATCCTTTCCTGACTAACCCACTCTGCATTAATCACCTCTCGGAATAAAGTCCACTATAAAAGAATTATAATAGCAACTGTAGTGATATTGACCTATGCTAATCATTCATTATGATTCACATATTTTAAAATTGGCATTAATACAGAATTACAGTATTGATACTTTGTGGTGACGTGTTCTATATGTGCCTCTATTGACAGAATCGTCATGACACAATTCACATACTAGCAAAACCAGACAACGGTGTTTTAAGATGTTTGAAAACTCAAGAAAAAATGCAAAATGGATTTAAACAACACATTTTGAGGAGCCTCGGATTATTATAAGTGTTCATGGTCCTGTTTAGGTGTTTGATTTTCAACAAAAATGGAGAGTAACTGAAAAACTGTTGGCTAATTAGCTATCTTGTGACTGTAATTTTATCGCCAGGCTGATACCACCTAGTGAATCCGCTCAGTTTCATTTCTCTCCAGTTACTAGGTCAGGAATCAGAATACACTAGACAGTTTGCAAGAATCCTGGAAGAGCAAGTTCAGGCACCAGCCAATGAGCGAAGAGCCATACATTCTGTGTTGGCAATGATTCCCGAGATCGAGGATTTAAAGCTGGAACAAAGAGAATGTTTGGTGAATTTTTCAAGGGAAAAGACGTTATTGTCCTTCTTCCTACGGGATTTGGGAAAAGGTTAACATACCGTTTACCCCCTTAGCGGCACATTACATACGTCACGACCAAATAACAGCGATTGGTTAAACGATAAAAAGTACCCGCCTACCATGGAACAAACGAATCCTAATGCTGCAAGGTCAGACGGTTTCTATGAAGTGAAACCAGCTGATAATCAGGCTAGTACTTTTATGCTTGAGAGACTTGTTTAACAGCACCAATAAGTTCACTAAGTCAGTTCCTTATGGTCAGATAGTGCTAAAAATGCTTATTTGAGTAACAAAGCTTCTAACAAAGTAGTGCTTTCAAGTTAGCATCACAGCCTCAGAAAATATTGATGACATCGGCTGCAAAGTATGAATAACTCAGCAACATTTCACCTTAGGAATCAACACAAAATTTACTTTCCTGATCAGGCTGCCAGCCAGGGTCACAGCATTTACAACCACAATAGTCTATATTCTCTGCAGTGAAAGTTAAAGAACAAATATCATGCATTACTTGTATTACTATTTATCTTTAAACATGCTGTTGAGTACATTTACTTTGGTATCTCATATTTTAGAATTTTAAATAATGGGCAATTCAACAATCAGATCTTTTTTTCCCCCAGTATCAGAGTTCCCCATAGTGCGATCTGGTGCAGGAATTACAGTAGGGAAAACAATTAAACTAGGTAATGAGGAACATGCTCTGACATGATTTAAAACTGCACAGGACAGCAGCAATAAGACGGAGTTGAGATTTAGCATTTTAAAAATAATGGCCAATTTTATTTGTTTTTCATTCTAAAAAGTTAAAAGGTTTCAGCTTTTTCTTATTTAGCACTTCTGCAATCTCTCCTGACTCTGCAGTTTACCATTCTTCTTCTTTGGATTAGTTTTGATACACTGAAAATAAACGCCATGTTGTTTTGGACATGCTTCGACCGAGTTGTTTTTTCATCACAAATTGTCCATTTTACTCTATTTTCTGATCTATGTTATAATGTTGTCTCCTCATCACAAACATACCTGGAGTTTAACACATAGACCCTGCGTATTTAAACTGAGTACTACTCTCAGACAGAAAATACTCTGTTCCACCTTGTGATGTCATGTGGTAATATAGGAAGTGCTCTACTATGTTTTGAAACTCCATACGTCTTCATTAAAATCATTTGGATAATTTCAACCCTGGAATTACCAATTATTTTGAGCTTTGGAGATGTAGACAGCCTAATAATGCAGGAACACTCAAACATGATTGAAACAAAACACAACTCCAGGTATGTTTTCGATGAAGAAACAACATTACAACATGGTTTAGAACTCACAAGAGTCAATTTTGTCTGTCTATAGCGGTTTGTAAGTGTCCTCTCTTTGCAATTCCAGGTTATATCCAGCAGGAGACAGCGCTGGGGGAGACACACTGAAAAGCATTCTTGAGACGTTGAGGTGAGGTCAAACTTGCTCAGACTCACGACACTGCTCCTTACATGCTCCCAATCCACTCCTATCTAGTACCTGTCACCCACCGCTGCAAAATGGAATTGACTATTGATTTCCCCTTTACCACAGGTCAGTAGCGCTGGCAGGCTACAGGGAGCTTTCACCAGGCCGGGAGTGGGACAAGGAAAGCAGTGCTGCCACACACAATACAGGCCAGTGTACAAGGGTGCTGTGTTTAAGCAATAAGTAATTTAGCAATGTGTATGAGTAAAGTTTGGGTGTGTGTAGTCCGTGTGTTACCGCCGGTTCCCTCTAAGTACTCCCACTTCCTCCCACTACTCAAAAACATGTTTTTGGATTGCATGTAACCGTAATTTAAAGATGCATTGTGTAACTTATCTGGTGGAGGGTCCGTCAAATACTTTTCTCCATGGATGTGTTATTGTTTTGCCTAGAGTGTTTCACAAACCATTCTATCTTCATGGAGACCAAACCAGGCTAAGCTACAGTCAGATCTGTGGAGAGGCGACCCCACTAACAGTCAGAATGTTTGTTTTTTTTTAGGTATTTTTAAGATATAAAACCACCTGTAATTTAATAAGTGTAAAGTAGAGTTGTTTAACGTCATACTATGGAACATTCCAGGCAGAGCAATGGCATATTCATAGAAACAAGACGGTGACAGACCCCTAACCAAAAAGTTACACAATGCACCTTTAAGTGAGATTTCTAAAACAAGCAAACTCGTTTTCTGCATGTAAGGTCAATACTGGATCAAACTAGAGTACAGACTGGGAATATTCAAGTTTTGTAAATGTAGACAGCATAAAAAAGCAAATTAAATAATTTAAAAGAATTGTTTTCATGTTTCACTTTCTAGGTCATCATGTGCTTTCAGGCTTGTTAACTATTTTTCAGAAACTGTATATATGTC